ACTACTACTACTACTACTACTACTACTACTACTACTACTCCTGCTGCTGCTGCTGCTGCTGCTACTACAACTACTACCACGACTACTACTACTACTACTACTACTACTACTACTACAGCATACTGCAGTATACTTACTGCAGTATACTACAGTATACTCAGTATACTACAGTACTACTACAGTACTACTACGACGACGACTACTTCTACTCCTACTACTCTACTGCTACTACTGTTACTACTGTTACTACTGTTACTACTACTACTACTACTGCTGCTGCTGCTGCTGCTGCTGCTACTACTACTACTACTACTACTACTACTACTATATTACTACTGCTACAGTATACTACAGTACTACTACGACTACTCGTGTGTGCATGTACATATACAAATCCATCTGCCAAGCATGCATTCGATCTCCAACGACATGGCAACGCCGCGGGCTCCTTGCCCTTGGCTTTGTCGGACATTTCCTTCTCCTGGCAAGATGGTCACCGTGGCGGACCGTGTTCGCTAAGTACTGACGTGGCAGAAGCCCACACCCGAACGAAGGCAAGTGCTGAGCTACCACCAATGACAACGAGTGGGCACTGAGTCGCCGAGTATTCAAGAGTGTGGATCTTCATACGGTGCGGTTGCAAGTTGTGGGTTCAGATTCTGTGATGCTGGGGAGCCGCCAAGATTGTAGGATCTAGTACCTGCGCCGTGAGACATGGCAAGAATCCTGACCCGGAGATGTTTACATCCTGAGTCTGAAACCCTGAAGACTCAAGGCGAGAAGCCTGCTCCATTCTGATCTCTTCCTTCGTCTTTGCTGCGGCCTTGAAGACCTGTGTTTCAATTCAAGTGCGTATCACTCGACCACAACAGGGCACAAACATAAGGATCATATGGCGTGTGATGCCGCGCAGCTTTATGCAGATCTCTGTGGAAGACAAGCAGTTAGCACGCCAAGAGAACGCCAATGGGCAGGCAAGAGCAACTCGGAATCCAAAACACGCCACATGCGCCCGGGATTGCGGCGAGGCAGGATCCGGTGGACGGGAAACTGGAAGGGCTTATCCTCAAGCTCCAGCTGTCAAACATGACATGGGGAATGCATGATCAGTGGTGGGAGCACGATGTCGAAGCCATGGAGATAAGATTCACAGAAGCCTGCCGTCTTGGAGGTCCCTGTCTTGCGGGCGTCGGTAGCCGCGATTCACGCATGATTGCAGCAACATGAATTACGCTGCTTTGGATGGTTTGAAAAGCCGCACGTGCGGATGCAGTGTTGGGTTTTCCCACGAGCGCGGAAGCCCAACACCGCACAGCACCATAGCGAGAGCCATAGAACCGCTCAAAGACTGGCAACTGGGAGTGTGCTGCCTTGTCGTGTTGAGCGTTATGAGTCATGTGTCATGAGATCCTCTTCGTGTTGGCACACTCTTGGCACAGCTCGGGTTCATAGGGTCATAGGGTATGCACTGCGTAGTGCATCTTAGCCAGGGGTAATTAGGGATTATGAGAGTGCGCGACGAAACATCGTGGTGCACATGGACTTAAGCTCCCTCTCCGAAGCAGTTCCAGATAAGCAGATAAACAGACTTGGTTGACGGACGAGGACCCACCCCACAACTAGCTGGAAAGCCCCGGAGCCCATATCGCAAAAAGTCTTACGCACCAAGCCGAAGCCCAAGAGGCCATGCAACGAGGAATCTCCGGAACCAAGCCTTTTAGAAAGGCCTGCACCTTTGAGAATCTCTGCCATGATCGGCCTTCTTCTGCCAGCCAGCAGCACGTGTGTCGAGGACGTCCTTCCCAAGGAGAACCCCGTCTTCTTGGCAGCTACTCGGCCTTTGCCACAGCTGCGCTTACTATTAAAGGCACGCGAGAACCAACGTCTTCGGCATCGACGACCCGACCACCAGCAAAACAGCCCCCAAGGAAGCCCGCGGCACTGCGAAGATCCCAGACTACCGGGGCCTGGATCATGAATTGCACCTCAGAGACGAACCAGTGGCTAGTGGCTCCTTGCCTATCTTCGGCAGCGAAGTACAACCCTACTATGCGAAATTTTGCGGGATAGGAGTTCCAGGTTTTGGAGGCTAAAATGCTTCAGTCTGCTTCCTGAGACACCCGGCGCGACACCAAGTGAGACCGAACCTTCTACGCCCGCACCGTCCCAGAAGTGCAATGCCCTGAGCACCATTTCCGCGTAGGCACACGCTTGCAGTAAGCGCCCTTGCCGTTCTCAAGCTTTCCTTAGAGCGTGGGCTATCATGGGCTATCCTCTTTCCTACATGCAGACTTGATGCACGGCTTACTGACGCGAAGCTTGCTTCAGGCGGGCTCCACTCTCCAATGCCCTGGTCCTGGACCCCTCCATGCCCTAACCATACCCCCAAGCCCTACGCCCCAAACGGTGGCCCAATTCCTGATTCTCCAACCCTAATCCTGACGCAGGAAAGAAAGCCATATGGGAGTCTCTACAAACAGGTCCCGACTAAAGCTTAATAGCCGAATCCTTATCAAGACCCCAACAAACCCTAAACCCAACAAGGTCCCCCCCTTTATGTAAAGCGCCACCCATACGTCCAGCAGTGGCAGGCAAGCCGCGCTTCATCAGCTCCTTCAAGCGGCCGCACACCTCGACATTGTGCTTTTTGCAGCTTGGGGTTTAGGTTTAAGGTTTAGGGAACCACCCTGATCTGAAAAAGCTCCGTCGTCCACCGAAACCCAAACACCAAAACCATATCCCGTCTTGCGACAAGGAGCAGACGTGAGTGCAGACTGGCCGGCAATCATGTTTTCCATGGTATAGCCTTGGACTTGAGGGCTCAAGTGGTAATACGGTTCTTGGAAACATGCATGGCAACGTTTCACCCCGAAATTGCACCGACACGCGAATTCCTTCTTACTCCTTTTTGTGTCATCACGAAGCCGATGGCCAGCAGCAGCTCACACGCGCACTCCAGTGCATGCTCCTGACTTTCACGCGCACCAAGCTGCCAAGTCCCCAAGCTTCCTGACCCTCGACCCTTGCCCATACACCCGAAGCTGAACTTACTGTGGACACGTTTAACCCTTGCTGCTTGAACTTTTCACACACCCCTGAACCTTAAACACAAGCAGCCTGAACCCTAACAACAAGAACCCCTAAACTGCTATTGGGGAAGTTAGAATAGGGCTTTAGGGCCCATTATACTGTACTTAGAATAAGGAACCCCCCAAAATAGTATAGGTAACTATTTAAGCCCCCTTTTTTATTACACCCTGTATCGTTGTCCAAAATGTCCTCTGGGAGGTCATCCACCTGCTCGCAGAGCACCAGCTCGCCTCGGCAAACGTCCAGAAGTCTTTGCTACTATTTAGGGTTTAGGGTTTTAGGGTTTAGGGTTTAGGGAAACTAGTAATGGCAGAAAAGTGGAGAAGAGAAGAGTACAGTGCAGAGAGCCAGGCCAATAGGCCTTCGGACAAGGCACAAATGACGCTTCCGATCACCTGTGCGACTCGGTCGGGCAAGTATCTACGGTGGGGTTGCTACAAAGATTTGAGCAGGGCCAGCGTCCAATTGGAATTGACTAACGTGAAGGCTACCTTCAGCGGCCTTTCTTCGTTCTCCAATCTCTGGAGATGATGCTCAATACCCTTGATCATGATGCTGCTGCGGAAAACAAACAGTAATGACATCCTGACAGCGGTGCTACAAGTATTTGTCGTCTTGCTTCTACACGTTTCGAACTTGCCCGCCTTGGCGGACAGCAGCTGACGCAGGAACAGGTGGCCGATGAACTTCATGTTGGCGCGCATGCGGTCCTGGCAATCTTCCCAATGCCCCGATGCATGCCTGCATATGTATGCACGAGACAATATGTAATTACTAATTATTAGCGAGTACTACTTTTGACCCCAGTCACGGGAGGGCTTGAGGGAAAGTCGTGTGATTAGCATGCTCTCAACACTAATCGCCTAAATCGCCTCCCCACCACCCCCCGCCACGCCGCCCATGCCAACTCTGGTCGGTCAGTGTCTCCGAAGCCCTTTTTCGAACAACTTGGCAAAACCCTAAGCCCCAAACCCTAAAATTATCCCAATTTTGGCTGTGAATGCTCCTGGTCCTGGGCCCTCGACCTTTGTAGTAACCCTAAACAAACCCTGGGCTTCGACACACAGGACCCCTGGGAGTCTCCAGCCTTGCGCTTCTTGCGCATGTACTCGAGCTCCTCTTCATCAAGCTTGGCCTTCCTGGGCCCCGGCAAAAAAAGTGCAGTCGTATTCAATGTAGAAGCCACAAAAAAAAAGGAACCCCCCTAAAATAGTATAGGTAACCATTGAGGCCTCAATATTATGTACCCTAGCAGGGTTTAAGTTTAAGTTTAAGCCTACGGTGCAACTTGTGGCGGCCGCAGAAGTCAGTCTCGCAACTGTCACAGCAACATTCCAGACATCTGGGGGGCACCGGCATAAGCCGGATTCACCTAGAACGAAGAAACTGACAAAATCAACTCCATGCCATGCAACAAGAAACAGGAAACCACACCGTAAAGTCAAGCAACTGCTCTGCGCTAATGTCGTTGGACGCAAGCAGCTCCTCAAACTCATTTTGACCTTGCAACAGCAGTGCAGATTGTTCACATGCCTCTCTGAGCCTTTCCAAACGCGATTTCACAAAGATGCCTGCGGCTTGAAATCACACTGGTGGATTTCAGAATTTCGCAGCCAGCGGCAGATATTGAGGACCAGCCCCTTGAACGTGATCGGCTTGCCGCCATCCGGTGATGGAAACGATGGGTACACAGCCTGCGCAGGCAATACGAAGAGGGCTGAACTGTCGTGGTAAGGATGTTTGGGACGAAGAACGTGTTTCCAGCAGAGTGTTTATAGAAATAACGTGTTTTCTCAACGTTGACAGCTCTTCCGCTAGGTCGCTAGGTGCCATCCCGCGTGCAAGCCGGATCGGGGCTGCTGTCGAGTCATTTCATTAGCGTATAGCTCGTCCGGGCCCAAATCAGCCACGAACCACAAGTCTGAGTCGGCAAACCCCAAATGCGTGTACGTATAATGTATAGCATAATCTATATAGAGAATAATACCTGCATACATACATGCCTGCCTGCCTGCCTGCCTGCCTGCCTACCTACCTACCTACCTACCTACCTACCTACCTACCTAGTACTTGGCGTTTGCACCACGTTCAGGCGACTCCTCAGCCAGCGAAAAAACAAATCCCGAAAGCCACTAGATGAGATGTCAAGGAGGCCCCCCGCCCTCCCTCCCACCCATCACAATCAGCAAGTGGAAGTCGTACGGAAACGCACCGAAAATTCTGCAACAATCCAGGTCATGGCTTTTAAACGCGCAGGAAGCGCGACGACCAAGCGAAGTCTGGCCGGTGCTAATTCCACGAGTTGCAAAATGCACCGAGAGCAGCGTGGGCGTAAACATCAATATCGTGCGTTCATCCGACAATGCCCCGCACCTTGAGACTGAAGACCATGTCCGCATAGGTCTCGCAGTAGTGAGGCTCGGTGATTGCCTGGCCATGGCATTGACAGATTCCGGATAAGAGGGTCGGCCGGGATGCTCGGAAACGGATGTGTGAAATGCTTGTCTTCTCACAGGCCCCAGATGACCCCACAGAGGCTTAAGCTCAGCAGCTCTTTCGAGAGTACTGACTAGAACGCTCGCAACAAGCACGGCACCTGGCCTTCTTGAACATGAGCTCGATAATGGCCTGTCCATAACGTAGCAATAGAGAACCGAAGCCGTCGAGTGTTAAATCAGACCAGACGGAGAGGCAGGATGCGTTAAGTTCATCCAGACCTTCCGACACCATGTCGGATCTCCTGGAGAGAATACTTCCTTTCGAACAAAGCTTGGTACCGTAAGTGTCGATCGGCCCTCCACTGTCCGAGCCTACAGCTTTTCGTGGAGTTCCCGCCTCCAGCTGCTTGATGTCCTGGACCTCGATAGCCGCAATCTTCTCGATGATGGAGGCGACATTCTCGGGGCAAATCTTGTTGAGCAATCCTGGCATGGAGGTGCCAGTATCGAAAGGATTCAGTGTGCTCGTTCACGACTGCTATCCGTACTACTCGTACTAGTGCTAGCCCGATGATCTCGTCTGGATTCTCCATCAACAGGCATCAGACAAGAAGACGCTAGAATCGGATCCTACGCTGACAGCAGGCCGACAATTAGGGATGCCGGCAGCACCTTGCACCTGGCGCTTGAGATCGTCCTCTGGTGATTTCCTGTCCAACGTCGGGCGTGAGGGATTTTTAGCTTAGGATCGAAGTTTTGGTTCATGGCTCAGGGCTTCCCTAGGCCCTGGACCCAACCTTCACTGGCGCCATGACTTTGGCTGAAATGCGGCCAAGCAGCTTGGCTGCGGGACGCCAGGCGTTGGCAGAGACAACGAGGGGCGGTGCTTTCTTCTGAGGTGGCCTTGCGCCGCAGGCTGCTAGAATCAACTCTCGCAACCCGATGAAGAATAGATTCGGAATCCAAACAATTTCTGCACATTGAGCTTGCTGGCATTCTGGGCTAGAAAGGTGCGATTTTTCTCATCGCACACTCGGAATCCTTGTGTTGATCCGAGTTGAACCCCCGACGACAGCAAACTCGAACTAACTTCTTACTCCCATGCTCGGGTCGGCCTCTCGACCTGCGCAGACATTTGGCGCCGCATCATGGAAGACGAGCCTCGCTGACCAAAGCACCGGGCCGGGTCTCTGGCACCCCTGTTCTGCCCGGGCCCAATCATGAGTGATCCTGATGCCTCCTATTAGACCTCTTGGGTCTGCAAGATACCGTTGATGTCGATGCCGTTGATGATGCTGGTGATAGTGAGGATGACGGATACCATCATGTGTCGCGTAGTCACGCTTGTCACCCGTTTGTCTAGTTTCTCGTCGTCCATTGCTACTACAATATTATTTAAACCCCGAAACCTCAACTCGACATACTTCAAACCCCGAAATAATAAAAACCCGAAGGTGGATACAATCGCTTTCAATCTCGTGCTAGGCAGCTCTTGCTCGGCACAATCGGCTCGGATTGCTGACGAAATGGAAGGCCCATGTCTCTCCTCGAGATGGACAGGCTTGAAACTTGAGGGTCTCGGGGCTTAAGTTCAGGCATTAGGATTCGGATTCGGGTGGTAGCGGTAGCCACGCTTGTTGGAACGAAGGTCCCACTCATAAGTACCGCTCTACCCGTGGCTCACGGAGAAGTAAGCTTCAAATCCAGACTCCAGCCCCCATGGTCTCGGTGACATAGCCGAAAACCTGAAATCCATCTTCCACCACTCAACCCACCAATCCTGCCTGTCTTATGATTGAGGCTTTGCCACAGATTCAGGCTGGGGGTACAGTGGTCTCTGAACTTTCTGTCGTGATCACCCAAGCCGACTGCTTGAAGGCAAACGTTTGGGGGTAATCGTCCTTATCAGGATTTCCTGATATGTATTTCTAAAGGTAGCTTCTGGTGCTTTCGGAAAGTCTGACTGAGTGCCCGGATCTCGGCACCCGGAAAGCCAACACCGGCCAAGCATCGATGGTGGCAGAGGAACCTCGAAACACGGTAGTGATAATAACAAATAGTCATGAGAATGATGAAAGTAGTCATTGAAACTAGAATATGACTGATACTGAACAAAATTGCAACAGCTATTTTACCGGCAATCACAACAGGAACAATAACAACAATAATGATGATATGAAGGAGTGGGGATGGTGCATATCCGGCCTTGGCATGCCCGATGGGAAGTTCCGAAACTCAACTGAGGTTTTTGTAGGTTCCGGCAGGGTCCCTTGACCGATCGAGCACGGGCCTCTGCAGCACCAGGGGCCCTTGTTACAAGAACCCCCAAAAGGACCCACATTTTTTGCCATTGCTGTGATTCTTGTGCACTTTACCGCCGGGGTCCCCACCGGCACGGGGGCCACCTCCACGACATACTCGGGCACATCATCCTTCGGAACCTCCCAGGGTTCACCGCACAACGGACAACTTGTGGGGTCTACGCGACTCGCAGTATCCCCAGCCAGGTCTTGGTACTCAGGTCCCCTTGCTATATGCCTATGCCGCGCAGGAGAGCACCCGCCTGATTCCGGTACGCAAGCAACTGCCGTCGAACCTGGCTGGTGGCAGCAACTGGGGCTTCAGCGATGGAAACTGGCACATAGGATTGAATTCAGATTGATTGCAGCATAAGGGCCTGCCGACACTTTCCCCCCCCCCCCCCGGATTTTGCAAATCAGGAGACACCATCAAGCAAGTGTTCGAGTTTACTGGCTGCTGGGCTGACCCGAAACCTGAACCGACCTTCCATCGGCCCATGCATTCCGTTTCCGTCGGCCTCCACGAAGTTCGTGTCCGAGACCTCTGTGGCTACGCTGCCGCTGTGATCATGTTCGTGCAGGGTTTGATGATCACGCTGTATGTACATGGGCTAAATAGGGACTGTCAAGGAATACAGTTAATATAGGGGCCTAAATACTTACCACTACTATGTTGGGGGCTCCTTATTATAATTATAGTATAATCGGGCCCGAAACCCTACTCTAATTATTAAGGCACTCATCATTCAGACCCCTACTGCCCTACCTGAAAGCTGCTGTCTGGAAGCCTCCAGTCACACCCCGCCGGCCAATTGCTTGGGAAAACTTTGCAATGGGCCCTTCCCGTCGTCGATAAAATGCAGCCCTTCCACTGACCCCTTCATGAAGATATGCGCAGCAGAAGCACCACAACTATGCGCACAACACGTCGCCCAAATCCGAGAAACCAAGCAGGTGTAGCACGGTCAGCAAGAAAGCGGTTTCCATGGCTCAGGGCCCTGCTTCTGCTGCACTGCTGGTAGGAGTCATCGAAGCATCTGGCGTGGCTGGCGCCTGCGCATATCTTGGTCCACCGAGTCAGCGTTGGGGAGTTCTGACGTATTATTTACAGCCTGGACTTGCTTTCATGGTAGGTCCTTCAAGCGCGATGCAATCGGTTCTTTCCTGTCTTCACCTGCCAGTATCCTCTACGCTCTGAAAACGTAGGCATCCACCTCGGTCGAAGCATCAGCCGTCGTAGTTGCCTCACAAGGACCCCAGATCTCCTATCTTTCAGGCTCGGACACCTGGCTGAGGAAGTGCAGCTCCCGTAATTCGCCCTTCTCTTCGCTCTACAAGCCTTGAGATCCCTAGCAAAGTCTAGTCCCGGATCTCGTCCCCGGTTTACTGCCGCCAAAGGGCCAGCGAGAGAGCAGAGACATCCCGGGCAGGCTTCTTGTCGTTCCTCCGGCCACATGCATTTTGGCATCGAAGGCACCAGAACTCAGCTTTACGATTGCAGGAAAGGTGTCGCCTCAAGCCTGGCCGCAGTGAAGCATGCATTTCGCAGTGTTCAGAAGTCGCACAACCGGTTTTGGAGTTTCTGGATCAAGATTTAGGCAGACTGGACAATCGGAAAACCTTCTCGAATAGCCGTAAGGCACTCAAGCGTGCATGTCGAGGACGTCAGCACGTGCAAAAACCGATGGAGTCACACGTCCCCTGCGCGTTACGAATCATGTCTCATGCGTGTGCGTGCAAATCGTGAAGCAACTGCACACTTCAGGAGCTTAGACAGACTTTCGCACCCAGGGCAGAGACGTGCGGTGACCACAGAAACAGTGCCATAAGTGCATGCCGTCCTCGTTGCACAGACAGACATGCTTAATGTCTGCCTTCTGTTTGTTTATGCTTATCTGTCAGTCATGTATGCATTGCACCTTGCCTTACTTAGTTGTTATGGGCCATACGTATGTACGTATGTACGTATGTACGTACGTATGTATGTATGTATGTATGTATGTATGTATGCAATATGATATGCTATATATGTATGCGCATACTCTATGTGGATATACATATTGTTTCTTTCGTCATGGTTGCAATGGGTGATCTATGTAAGACAGCAGCATGCTCGTGAGTGCTACAAGACATGCTAGGCCCACCCCGAATTGTACATCATCAACACGTTGCACCAGAACCCTAGAGACCCTTAACCGCAGTAGGCAAGTGCAATCCTTGTCAGCATGGTGATCAAAGGTGAGTTGAAACCGCGCAGCTTCCAGAGTCCGGTACGATTCTGTATTGTTTCTCACAGCCCTCCAGGAACTCGGGCGTAGACTTGAAGGCTTTAGGGTTTACTTATCTGTCAGTCCCGTAGATAGATTCGTTCGTCATGACTAGATCTCTTCTTGTGTTGTCGCTCCCAGAACGCACGGGGCGGCCGGCCTCTGCGCAACTTGCTTGTCCACCAAGTCCTTGGTGCCGCCCTAAACCCAAGGCCCTCCCAAAGCTCGCTCGCTTGAAGATCCTGCAGAGTTACACTTTGGGGCCTGGATCATCCCGATGCAGCAGCATTGGCCTATCTGTTCTTTGCCAGCTTGTGTGGGGAAGCAGGACGCAAAGCAACAGCAAAGCATGATGGGGGTTCATAGCGCAACAGCACTTCGGGATGCTCATAAAGTTCCTGACAGGGTTTGATTTCGGCTTCATAGGCCCGTATACTTATTCCGGCAATCTAGGTGGCAGGATTGCGATCCGACAGCATCGTCATCTTGCTCTCGTGTGGAGCGATTATTTTTTGGGAAAGGCCCTCTCACACACTCATACCTGACGCATGTTCTGTCAGGTGGATGGGTGGATGGATGAATGGATGGATGGATGAAGGAATGAATGGCACAGGACAGGACAAACAATGGATAAGTCGACCCCGAAAATAGGATCCTTGCATCAGGACCTTTGAAGAAGAAGGCAACCCAAATTTGAAGAAACCCAATTCGAGATGAATTATGGTCGCGAGCATGGATCCACAGCGATGATGGCTTTCTTCTGTTGCTCCCAAGATGCTGAACCAGCCGAAGGTGCATACTTCAGAACATACTTAGGCAAGAAGAACGACTTAGGGTTTTGGGACCTGACCCCAAACCCAAAAACCCTTTCGGTGCAGAGCTGCAGCGTTGGGGTTCTTGAAGATCTTGCCTCAACTCTGGCACCCGTACTCATGCTCTCAAACCAAGTTACCGGTACCTGATTTTTGCCATCTCGTATGTACCTATGGCACAAGCGGTGGGCATACCAATATGATACCAGTACATATACACACTCTGCATGCACGCTTCTACATCTACCTAGCTGAACCCAGAAAACAAAATCTCTAGCTGTCTGCTCTCATGATCGTCACCGTCATATTTATGCATCTGACTTGTTTTTTCGTATTTCTTCTTTGCCACAAATGACAAAGCTAACGAACCACAGTGCGCGGCTGCAGAAACAAGGCGGGTGACAGAAAAATCAGCAGCAGCCTTTGCCCACAACACAGGTCCGAGTAAGTCACAGAAGGCGTGTCCTGCGCGACATGTAACAGGAATGCGGGTACAACGATAAACGTGCGAACAAGAGTAGCAGGACACCGGCATTAAACACGTGCACTCGACATGTGTACATGTATAATATGCACAGGTGGACAAATGGACCCACACATGTACACAGACACACACACACACACACACTGTGACTCTGACACATAAACAGCTGCATAAGTGTGATACATACACACATTCCTAACGACATCAATTCATCCCAAACTACAACCGCATTTCGGACTACCCACTTCCTGCCGAAGCTGCAGACATCCAGGTGGAGAGCCGTAAAGGCGGAGCGGTCCGGCTTCCAACGCTGGGAGAGCTTGGCACGCCTCACAGGGAGTTTCGGGACCCTCGATCAAAGACGCCGTCAGAAATGCAAGGGGTTTCTGTTCAGGCGTGCCATCAACCACTCGCTGGTCACTACTAGCATACCAGTAACAACTACCACAACTTTAAATTATGCACAGTCTACAGCAGCGACAGAAACAGCAACGACTAGCAAAACGACAACAGGAAGAGTAATACCATACAAAAACAATAACCATAACATGACAACTACAACAACAGCAATTGCTAGTGCTGCTGCTGCTACCGCTACTGCACTACTACTACTCCCACTGCTACTGCTACTACTACTACTACTACTACTACTACTGCTGCTACTACTACTATTATTATTATTACTACTACTACTACTACTACTACTACTGGTAACTACTAGTGGGCCGCAACGATCCATCAGGCTGAACTCCACGCCTTCAAACCGTGAACACCCTTAGCTTCCCTGTGCCTCTCCAGGACCCTCTTCGCTGCTTCCTTGTCGTTCTCAACGAGGGGAAGGAGGGGCAGATTGCGCCTCGTTCGAATGCATCACGCAGCACTTTGTCATGGCAATGACAATCCATCCGGTGCTGCTGAAAGCCTCCATGGCCCTGCTCCCCCCTCCTATGTTTAACCGACGATGGCTACCATTGTTGCAATTGTGTCGGAGGAGTTAGCCGCAGTCGATCAGGGATGCTGTGAGCATCACGCTGTTTGAGCGAAGTGCTAGTTTCAGCAGCAGTGGTGGTAGTAGTAGTAGTAGTAGTACTACTACTACTACTACTACTACTACTAGTAGCAGCAGCAGTAGCAGTAGCAGTAGCAGCAGCAGTTGCAGCAGCAGTAGCAGCGGGCAGTAGCAATAAGTAGCAGTAGTAGTAGTAGCAGTAGAAGTAGTAGTAGCAGTAGTAGTAGTAGTAGTAGTAGTAGTAGCAGTAGCAGTAGTAGTAGTAGTAGTAGTAGTAGTAGTAGTAAGTAGTAAGTAGTAAGTAGTAGTCGTAGTA